GGCCTGAACTACCTCCTTGTTCCCATCGAAAGTTTCTAGCTTTCTCTTTTTGTCAACCTGTGAATGATATCCATTTGCAACACCTGAGGAGACACGCAAATCTACTTTCTTCTGTTCTGAATCACCATCACCATTAGAAGCATTTTCATCTGTATCCTTCTCATCCATCGTGGATTGTTCTGATTGTTGTTGTTTAGCATGAAACCCTTTTGCTTTTGCTCGGTGTTTCTTCCCATCGGCATGGACAAGCAAATCCTGCTGACTTGTAGCATTTGTGTTACACAAACTGCAACCAAATACATAACATTCAACGCATGTCCTCATAAAATCTCACCACAAGTGAACACACACAAACAACAATACATTTTTGAAAGAAGTCTCAGTTAGTTTTATCGAAATTCAAAGAAAGATAGATAAGGTTTCTTATAGGTCCAGTTTCTTTGTAGACCAACCACGGCTATTTTGGAACATTTAATTTGCTACAGAAAAAGGAACAAAAGGTGAAAGATGTGAGTACCTACAAAACCATGGATATCTCTTTGATAACCCGACAGTTATATCGAAGTCAGGCAGTTGGTACGAATTGTCCTTATATTTTGTTGGTTGTTCAAATTGTTTTCGTTGCTTGGCATCAAACCCTTTTGCCTTTTCTCGGTGTTTCCATCAATGGACATGGGCAAAAAAATCCTTCTTGCTATTTGTCTTCGCGTTACATAAGCTGGAACCAAATAGATAATACCCAAAGCATGTCCTTAGAGAACTTCACAACAAGAGAACACACACAAAACAACACTCCACTTTGGAAAAAAAAAAAAAGTCTCCATTAATATTACCAAAATCCAAAGAAAGATGTATAACGTTTCTTATAAATCAAAAAAATTACACTCCTAAACAATGTAAACCAACCTCGAGTATATAGAACATTTAACTTGATTACAGAAAATGAAAGGAAGGCCAAAGATGTGAGTACCTACAAATCCATGAAGGACGGTTGGATAACGCCACATTTATATCGAAATTGATCTGTTGTTTCGAGTTCTCCTTTGGGTTTGATGGTGTGCCACTAGATGGTCTCTTTGGACCATATTTCTCCTAAATACAGAAAAAAATTCAAGACACAGAATAAATCTTCAATCTCTTCAACAAATATACAAAACTAAACCACTACTTCCATAGAATGCAGAACCGCATAGAAGCAGAACAAACACAGGATTAGAAGATTGATAAACAATTGGGAAAATACTTACAGCTTCGGTCAAGCACTGATTATGCCACTGAACACTATCTCGCCCAAACATGTTTCCACAATCGATGCAAGATAACTGCTTAAAACCACAAAAACGAAGAGGGAGTAAGAGAAGGATCATCGAAAGGGTTTCAATTTTTACCAGAAGCGAAAGGAATCTTTGTGGCACTACACATACTGAAGTGCTTTTTGAGCTTTGGTTTCTTCAGATTCTCTCCACAGTCTTCGCATTGAAACCAAACCATTGTTCCGATGATTATCGACGCGAAATTTGGGAAATTTTCTGGTGGAATCAATTTCAGTTGAGATGATCGGAGATGGGTTTAACACCGCCTACAGTTATTGAAATATAATTTTCTAACTGCGTGTTGTTTCGAATACTAAAAACGACATGGTTTCTTGTTTTCCAACTACAAAACGGCCTGATTTTTGTTTTAAGTTTCTTGAAAAATTTACCTAGAATAACCTACTTTTTTTTAAAATAGCTAGAATAACTTTACCATTTTTTTATTGCTGAAATAACCTATTCTATATTATTTTTCTTTCATAATACCAAAATTGTCCTTGGCAGACTCTGCCGAAACATTGGCAGAGTCTGCGTATTTCTAGATATTGGCAGAGTCTGCCAATACATCGGTAGAGTCTACCAATGTTTCGGCAGAGTCTGCCAATGTTCGGCAGAGTCTGCCAATGTTTTGGCAGAGTCTGCGTATTTTTAGATATTGGCAGAGTCTGCCAATACATCGGTAGAGTCTACCAATGTTTTCGCAGCGTCTCTCAATACCTCGGTAGAGTCTGCCAATGTTTCGGCAGAGTTTGCCAATGTTTCGGCAGAGTCTGCCAATGTTCGGCAGACCCTGCCAATGTTCGGCAGAGTATGCCAATATTGTGGCAGAATCTGCGTATTTTTAGATATCTGCCAATACATCGGTAGAGTCTACCAAAGTTTCGGCAGAGTCTGCCAATATTTCGGCAGAGTCTGCGAAAGACAATTTTGGTATTATGAAAGAAAAAAATCTAGAATATATTATTTCAGTAATAAAAAAATAGTAAAATTATTCTAGCTATTTTAAAAAAAAGTAGGTTATTCTAGCTAATCCCCCAAGTTTCTTTGAAAATGGTCCAAAGATTGTTTTCCTTTAACAAATGAAATAATAACACTTTAGACAAGAATATGAAATCTTCGAGCATTGACTAGAATCTGGATTTGTAGTCGTATGAATACTACTTTTTATGAAATGCAAAGGGTTAATTTGCTTAATAACCCAAAAAAAAATCATATCTAAATAAGTAACCAAAATGGCCCCATATGGCTAAATAATAGCCATTAGATTTATGGTATTTGGCTATTCAGGTATTTTGTTTTTTTGGTTATTAAGCCAATTAATCCAAATGCAAATTGATAAAGATTCTAAGATATCGATAGACCAATTTGAAATTGAGTTTTTTTTTAACTTGGATTAATCTGCAGATTTTGGAAACCTTAAATTGCATCGAAACCTTATTGTTTCCTTCTACTATTCTTGTTTTCGTTGAACACAGAACATACAATTTACCTGTACACAGGATTTTACTGGAAAATTGCATCAAAATTTATACCAAAACAATATAAAGTATTGTGGGACTTTCTAAGCCCATGTCCAAATCCTCCCATTAGTATGATATTGTCCGCTTTGGGCCCAGAGGCAAAGTCCGCACAGATTTGTTCTTGGGTTCCTTCCCAAAAGGTCTCATACTAATTAGAGTTGGACATTACTTATATATTAGACAACTCATGTCTAAACTTCCGATGTGTGACTTGGATTGATATCCCAACAATCCTCCCCTCAAACCAAGTACCACATAAACCCGTGGTCTTCTACCTCCGGCGAAACCTGGCACCCATCTTGTATCGTTGTTCTTCACCTAACCCTTGGGACACCGTTAGGAATATCTTCGATACAAGGTCCCTGCACCCTTATTCGCGATGTCACCTTTTTGGGGGTTCTCCTCCCACATCGAACACCCAAGCCCAACCCACTTCTCCAGGTCCCCTTTTCCGAACCTAGGCTCTGATACCAATTGTGGGGCTTTCTAAGCCCATGTCCAACTCCTCCCATTAGTATGATATTGTCCGCTTTGGGCCCAGAGGCAAAGCCTGCACGGATTTATTCTTGGGCTCCTTCCCAAAAGACCTCATACTAATTAGAATTGGACATTACTTATATATTAGACAACTCATGTCTAAACTTCCGATGTGTGACTTGGATTGATATCCCAACAAGTATAAACAGAAAAGCATACGTAAATTTACAAGTAATTATTTATAGCAACGACCATTTTATGATCAAAGTGCCTAACTCCCCAAGTAACCCTTGAGGACATCCATGACAGCTCCAAAATCAGCCTTCACTTCAACGGGTTTGAGAACCGACAAGCCATATCGGGTATGGCTTTCGAGTGGTAATCGATCTTAGACTGACTGAATTTCAACCTGTGAGCAGTACTCACCACCACGGTCCGATCAGTAATCACCCCTTGGTTCCTCAATTTAAACAGAGCCGTTAGGGCAACACCAGTGTGTGGACAAACAAACATTCCGGTCGAATCCGCCTGAGCCATCACGTCCATAAGCTCCTCTTCCGTAGCTTCTTCAACAATACCGTCGCAGTTTCTAAGAGTGTACACCGCCCTATCTATCGAAACCGGATCACCAATCTGAATCGCAGAGGCGAAAGTTGTATTCGCTTTAACCGGCTTGAAATCTTTCCAACCTGACTTGTAATGCAAGCAAGGTCGTGCCTGTAAGCCAAGCAAAAAGGCATTTGCCTCAGGGCCCCTAAAGAATATATAAATTTTGGGGCCCCAAATTTACAAACATTACTTATAGTCTAGTGGTTTATAAGGACTTTTATTAGGCCACCACAACTTAATTAACCTGAGTTCGAACTCTACAACTTATATTGGGGCCTATATTTTGAATTTGCCTCAGGCCTATAAAAGTCCTAGCACGGGTCTGAATGCAAGTAAAGCGGATTCGCGTTAGCCGCTTGTGCGCAAATCAGCCTCGGCATCCTATCGACAAGTCCAAGCTCATGACACATTTTAAAACCCTTGTAAAATGCGTAAATGTTACCAAGATTGCCTCCAGGAACAATCACCCAATCAGGTACTTCCCAATTAAACTGCTGAAGAATCTCAATCGCCGCAGTCTTTTGCCCTTCTAACCTCAAACTATTCAACGAATTCGGTAAATAAATCGGTAACTCCGAAGTAATCTCCTTAATCAGCTTCATACATCCATCAAAATCAGTGTCAATACTCAAAACAAACGCACCGTTCGCAATCGGTTGAACAAGCTGAGCCATTGAGATTTTATTCGCCGGTAAAATCACAATCGAAGGGATCCCGACTGATGCGCAAATAAGCCGATAAAGCAGCTGAAGTATCACCGATTGAAGCACAACCAACTCCAACCACAGGTCGATTCATCTTCCTTAATCGATTCACTTGACTCACCAAAACAGTCATTCCTAAATCTTTGAAACTTCTTGTATGGCTAATTCCACAATGTTTCACCCATAAATCGTTCATTCCGAGGAATTGTTTCCTCAATCTCTCTGCCCAGAAGAGATTCGAATTACCTTCGAATGCAGAAACGATGTCGTCGTCGTCGATTTCAGGAAGAACCCGCTCTTTCTTCGACCAGACTCCAGATCCGTACGGCCATTTGGTTTTCCTGACGCGTTAATCGAACAATTAACGCTAGTAAGCTTTTGTATTGAAAAGGAAAACTAACATATCAAATTTCTTTTCAATACAAAAATTGTAATCAATTGAGGTATTTATTTCTATTAAAAAAAAAATTTTACCTAGAATAACCTTTTTTTTTTTTAAAATAGCTAGAATAACCTTACCATTTTTTATTGTTGAAATAACCTATTCTGGATTTTTTTTCTTTCATAATACCAAAATTATCCTTGGCAGACTCTGCCGAGGTATTGGCAGAGTCTGCATATTTCTAGATATTGGCAGAGTCTGCCAATACATCGGTAGAGTCTACCAATGTTTCCGCAGAGTCTGCCAATGATTCGGTAGAGTCTGTCAATACCTCGGCGGAGTCTGCCAATACATCGGCAGAGTCTGCCAATGTTCGGCAGAGTCTGTCAATACATCGACAGAGTCTGCCAATGTTTCAGGAGAGTCTGCCAATACCTCGGTAGAGTCTGCGAAGGACAATTTTGGTATTATGAAACAAAAAAATCGAAAATAGGTTATTTCAGCAATAAAAAAATAGTAAGGTTATTCTAGCTATTTTTAAAAAAAGTAGGTTATTCTAGTTAATCTTCCAAAGATGTGGCAAACGCAAACGAAAATAATAATAATTTTATAATTCCAATAAACAAAAAAATCCAGGGTTGTCATCACCATACATGCGCGGGAATACCTAATTAACAATAATGGAAGAGTGACAAAAAAGTTAATAAGGGTAAGACTATGATATATGTACTTACTCACTGTCCTATTCCTATTGTTATTATGATTTGATTTGATGAAATCTGTAATATCTTGTTGGGTGGGTTTATCGGTTGATAATAAAAATAGGAATAGATTTCCTTTTTACGAAGAATGGAAACTGTTGAGATGAAAAGAAATTTGATATGTTAGTTTTCCTTTTTTCCAATTCGTAGTTGGACTCGGATGCTGCTGCTGCTGTGTGTATATATATAATTTATGAAGCCTGGTTGATCAATTCAGAGACAAGAAGATACAACGTTTTTTTTTGGTAAAAAAGAAGATACAATGTGGTTGAAAAGACATCGCTCGCCTGTTGAGAAGACAGCATCTCTACGTCACGATGTGGTAGAGCTGGTCCTCGAGAGACTTGCTGCGAAGCCTCTGGGGAGATTCAAGTCTGTATCCAAGTCTTGGAAATCCACAATCGAGTCCCCAAGTTTCAAACAAGGACAGTTGATCTGCCGTATGCAATCTCGAGGTCCCGATGTTCTTTTCGTGCGGCTTTTTTATCCTTTTGCTGTTGGTACTGGTGATGCTCACAGATTTGAGTTTGGGTCATCAATAGCTTATACGGTTAGGCTCCCTACTTCAGGCACCGCAATCTACCAGGGCAGTTGTGACGGTCTTGTTTGCCTCTACAATACCTACGCACCTAGCTACCTACGATCAATGCAACAATTGTAAATCAATGATTGAAATAATTTTCTGAAGCATTTGATCGCGATGTGTTCTCT